GATTTGTGTGTATTTGAATGAATTAGGGTAAATGTTGGCTTCGGCACCCATTGACTGTTTTCGGCAACCAAAATTTAAACGTTAATTTCACTATGTTTTCCCATCAACGCACTTCCCTGAATGTTGTCAAACGATTGTTTAGCCTTTCAGCTTCAATCTGATTATATTTGAACGATCGAGCAATCCAGTAATGCTACATTTTTCTTCAAATAAAGCATACGCACTACAAAATGGGGTTGATTTCGAGTTGCCGATAATAGAACAGCTGGTTAACACGCAGTTCTAATGGGAAGGTTGCCGAAGAAAAAGAGGCTGCCGACAATAGTCACACTCACCTGAGAAGTTTGGAGCGTTGTAAAAACGCTTTCAGAACGTTTTGAAAAATTCTGTCGGTTGGAATGGATAGAGAAGCAAGCAGCAGATGAATGTAAACAAACAGACACATCATATATGTGCGTGACGCTGAGAAAATGCTAGTAGAAGTACAGACGCTGCTTAGATTGACGAGAATACGTAAATTCCCCTAAATAGAAACGGTGTCCCATTGAATAAAATAGCTGGAAACGACAATTTGTCACAAATTACTTTACGCAAGATTTCAATACCGCCTTGTGCATTCTTGTTCAACAGTAAGAAAAGCATCATAAAATTGCTTGGCTCCAAATGACAGTTCGTGACAGCAGCCGTCTGGCTGCATTTGACGTTCTTTTTTTTTATAACTCTTTATTTGTTCCAAATTCAAAATAAATTACATTTCATTTTAACCTAGGTGCTCCAGTTACTACAGTAACTTACCAGCCTTAATTGTTATGATATATATATCTATGTGTTTTTACATTGTTCCTGCCTAGGCAATTCAGTATTTTAAATAGGTTTTTCAAAACCTGCATGTCAGAATAACAATTGAAATCTTAAAACTAAAAACTAAAACTAAATCTTATCTAGGTATAAAGCGAATTAATCGTTGCAATTGAGCATTGATTTTTGCCTGAAATTATTAATTATTTTGTTGGACATTTGTTCTAAAGTCTCAACATTCGAAATTCTATGTACTTCAGTAGTACTGTACTTCAGTAGTACTGTACCAGGGAGGCAACTTCAAAATCATCTTCAGAACTTTGTTCTGAATTCTTTGAAGTGCTTTTTTCCTGGTAGTACAACAGCTAGACCATATTAGCACAGCGTAAAGCATGGCCGGTCTAAAAACTTGTTTAAATATTAGAAGTTTATTCGTCAGGCAAAGTTTGGATTTCTTGTTTATAAGAGGATACAAACATTTTATATATTTGTTACATTTAGCTTGAATGCCCTCAATGTGATCTGTAAAAGTTAATTTTTGGTCAAGTATTAATCCAAGATATTTCACTTGGTTTGACCAGGAAATTGGAACTCCGTTCATAGTGACTATGTGACTACTACTAGGTTTCAAAAAGGAAGCTCTAGGCTTATGTGGATATATTATAAGTTGAGTTTTCGAAGCAGTGGGAGAAATCTTCCATTTTTGTAAATAAGAAGAGAAAATATCTAAACTTTTCTGCAGTCTGCTGCAAATAACACGAATACTTTTTCCTTTAGCGGAAATGCCTGTGTCATCAGCGAACAAAGATTTGTGGCAACCCTGAGGCAAATCAGGGAGGTCCGAAGTGAAAATGTTATACAATATAGGCCCAAGAATGCTACCCTGAGGAACTCCTGCTCTAACAGGTAGTCGATTATATTTGGAATTTTGATAATTTACCTGCAGAGTTCTGTCAGTTAAATAATTTTGAACTAATTTCATAATATAAAGTGGAAAATTAAACCTTTTCAATTTAGCAATCAAACCTTCATGCCAAACACTGTCGAATGCTTTTTCTATGTCTAGAAGAGCAACTCCAGTTGAGTGGCCTTCAGATTTGTTTGAACGAATTAAATTGGTAACTCTTAAGAGTTGATGAGTAGTTGAATGCCCATGGCGAAATCCAAACTGCTCATCTGCAAAAATTGAGTTCGTATTGATGTGAAGCATCATTCTATTTAAAATTATCTTTTCAAAAAGTTTACTAATTGAAGAAAGCAAACTTATTGGACGGTAGCTAGAAGCTTCAGCTGGATTTTTATCCGGCTTCAAAATTGGAACAACTTTTGCATTTTTCCATTTATCAGGAAAGTATGCCAAATGTAAACATCTGTTAAATAATTTTACCAAGAAAGGCAAGGTACTCTCTGGGAATTTTTCGATGAGGATATAGAAAATTCCATCATCACCTGCAACAATATAATGATGATCATCCTCTTCCCTCGGCTGATCATCAACGTCCACGCTGACATATGTCATACTGACACCTGTCATTTATTGAGCCCTGGTGGTAAAGTTGGCGGGGGACTCCCAATAGTTTTAATGTGCACTCACGAGATGGCACTGCGATCACATAAGGGTGGTGTATCCATTGCCTTGTTCGAGGAATTGATTTGTGGGATATCTTGTTAATGAAATATCTTTGCTTTTATGCATTCTTATAGGACCTATGTGGTTTGTCTTATGGAATGTATAAGGTTGATGTTTTGGCAAAAATGTATAAGTGAAACACATAATTGATTTTCGTTTCGTGTAGAAGTAGCTGAGTTGTGCACTCCTCCATCTAAATAGCACCACAGCTGAGCTACGAATGCTATGAAATAAAAGGGATATCAGCTTATAACCACTACCTACTTCTTTTCCTTCCACTCTCAGGATTCAACGATTCGGTGTCTCTTGTTTTGTGTGTTCTTCTAAAACTGAGCAGTGATATTTTCTTTGGGCGCAGACGATGTGCGGAAATCAAAAGTTAACAATGTATCACAATATTTTCAATAATATTCCGTGCGCGCATTGGACTGCAACAGCCGAACGTACGAACAAATAGGGTGCACATAGAGCATTTTAAGAAAACGTCGTAAGTTATCATGGGTGTTTTAAATCAATAATAACGAAGAAACCATAAAACCTACAAGATTACTACCAAAGGAACACATCTAAGGAACTGAATAGAGAATGTTTTTAGAACAAATAAATAAACAGCAATGTAGATTTTCAACTTAAAAACACTAAAATGTACGTAATTTGACCTTTTTTTTGTACTTTCAATGTAACTTTAATCGAGTTCATCTCAAAGTAGTTTTGATACATAAGACTTCAAAAAACTCCCAGAGAAAAACACATTAAGATTGAAATAATATAACTAACCAAAGTTGGCTATGAGAAAAAACATAGAATGTTGTATAACTAACTTAGGCTCTGAACCATTTGGTGGATTATTTTAACTTTTGGTTAAAATTTGACAGATGGAAAGTTATCGATTGACCCTGCTATCCGAGCTTGGTTACTTCTGACAGACAAGAAGTTAAATTTTGACAACTTTGGCTGAGTTCTTCTCGAAAACCGGTCGATCGACAGCACAGGGATTTTCGAACATAGAAAATAACTTTCGAAATGTCACTTTTAACCACGAGTTAAATTTAACTCGGCAAATGGTTCACAGCCTTAGCAGTCATTTCCGACCCTATGTTTCATGGGGATTTTTTCATAACTTTGGAAACCCTAGTAGTAACACAAAAATAAAAATGAAATAAAAGGGACATCGACTTATTACCACTACCTACTTCTCTCCCTTCCGCTCTCAGAATTCGCCGATTCGGTGTCTCTCGTTGTGCTTTCTGTTGAGACTGAGCAATATTCGATACCGCGAAACATCTCCGCAGTTATGTTTTCTTTCGGCGTAGGAGATGTGCGGTAATCGAAAGTTAAGAATGTAGCTCAACATTTACAATAACATTCTACCAAATTTTCATGTGCGTAATCCACTGAACGTACGAACGAATAGGGTGACTATAGCGCATTTTAAGAAAACGTCACAAGTTTTTATGGCAGTTTTAAATCAATAATTACGAAGAAATCGTAAAGCCTACAAGGTTACTACCAAAGGCACAAATCTAGGGAACTGCATGGAGAATGTTTTGTAGAACAACTAAATTAACAGCAAGAAAAAATTTCAACTTAAACCTATTTTATAGAGATGAACTAGCCAACGGCTAAAAATCTCTCTAATAAAGTAAAAAAAAAAAATCAACTGTATGAAATGTATAAAATCTCTCTAATAAAGTAAAAAAAAAAATTCAACTGTATCAAATGTATGAAATTTCACCATTTTTTTTGGTACTTTCAACATACTTTTCAATTTTAATGTATGATAATTAACTTTAATCGAGTTCTTTTCTAAAGAGCATTGATAGCTAAGACTTTATTCTTTCATTTAGTATGTTGAAATCAGAAAACCACATTAAGATTAAAAAAATATAGCTAACCAAAGTTGGCTATGAGAAAAAACATAGAATGTTGTATAACTCACTTAGCAGTCAAAGAGATGAACTAGCCTCAGGCTAAAAATCTCTAAAAGAAAAAAAAAAAAAAAAAAAAAAAACTTAGCAGTCATTTCCGACCCTATGTTTCATGAGGATTTTTTCATAACTTTAGGAGACCTATCTACCCTGAAAATATGTAAAACCCGGAACCAAACACCCTGAATGTGTATATAGGTGTACCTTGATAAAACGTAACTGTTACTTTCAACTTCCATCGTCGATATCTCACAAATAACAATTCAATTATTCAAATTTGCATGACCAATAGATGGAGGATTGTCTTATATCTCCGATTGTGTTATTTATTTGCTTGATTTAATGATTGTTACCTAGAAATCAGCAATAGAATTCAAAAGTGACAGTTACGTTACTTACCAACTAACCTAAATTAAAATCATGGGAATATTTAAGTGAAGTGAACGTATCCAAACCTTATAAGGTACGTATACTATACCAAAAATTATTTGGCCGCTAACTATTAACATTCGTTAGAAAGTGACTGTAGTGACCATTTACACGAAAAAAAGAGACTAGTGCTTTGGCGAAAATAGTGACTTTTAAGTGACCAGCTTAAAAAGAAGTGACAAACTTCCAGCTCTGCAGTATATCTAAGTACTCACTTCTAGTGGATAATTTTAAAACCTTTATGTTACTGTGGCAGGTAGCTATTAGTTTAGATATGTCCTTGGCACATTCTTGAACCTGAAAAGAAAAACCAGTTATTTATTGCTTGCCACATTGATTGAACTAGTTTTTCGCACTACCTTCAATTCATTCTCTGAGTTTTCGCTGAGCACAGAACGAACTGAAGATCCCTGGATTTGTAATAGGTAATCAATCTTCGTCTTAAGCCTAAAATGTATTTGACAATATTAGATGTGAGTCAATGATTTTTTATGTTTCACATGTATCAAAATAATATAAAATTACTTGGTAAGAAAATAATGTATCTCGTCATATTTTCCCATCCACTTTGGCTGTTCAACATTGTTACTGGATTCACTGCATCCTCGGTCGAGAAGAGCAATATTATCGGAATTTTTCTGCAGATGTAATTTTTTTTAATTAATTTACCATCGATCATTGGCTCGATTTCAACAAATTTGGGTTATCCATTATTACCAACCGTGTCTGAATAAACGTTCTTGTTGTACAAAATATTGTTTCTTAGCATAAAAAATAATTCCGTTAAATTTCTATGAGACATTTCGTGAATTCAAATATCCTAAGCCAGGATGATATCAAATATACAACTCTAAATTAAGTATGGACGTGAAATTTTGTGATTCTTCACTGTTTACATTCATTCAATGACATTGGCGTTGACGGCACCGTTGAAAAATCGTCTCTTCTAGCCAAAAATGACAGTATCTTATGGGAATTTTCGGTGGAGTAAAAAAATAGTACGAAAGCCACCATGTTTTACGCGCAGTCTGACGTTTGCTTACGCGATTTTCTATAGGAGTAAAGAGCTACAGAGTCGCCGTCAACGCCAATTGGCATTCAAGATAAATATAAAATGTTGAGCTTGGTTACGATCAATATGACCCAGAAGGAAAAATGTTAGCGTTAGACCAACGTTAGACGTTACCATGATGATCGATCTGCATGACTCGGGTCGAAATTATGCTCGGGCTGCATGACTCGAGTCGGCTTAAGCTCGGCTCGAGTTTGTTCGCAGCTGTCATTGGCTTTGATGGTGACACTGTAACTCTCTCCTAGAAATCCATCCGAGTATTTGTACTGTTTACTCTTATGGTAGTTTTTCGTACGCTCAAGTTGAACCAGCTGATCGAACCGGTGAAGATCAACGATTCATGGAAGCTGTATAACCAATCGAAGCCTGTCGGCCGAACAATATCGGAATGTTTTTTCGCTGCTGGAATAATATGACTTTTATTAGTGAAAACTGCTGTTCTGCTGTTTCAGGTAGGTGAAATAATCAACCCGCGTTTCGAGGAATGTGCATCAATTGCTTCCTCGGGTGAGTAGCACTAAAATTTTGGTTTAGGCTGGGATTGGTATGAAAGTGGATGCAGTAGCGAAGTCTTGTTTTTTCTTCAATGTTACTAATGTAATGATTGTGAACTGGATGAAACATGTAAATCTCATTACATTCCCTAGACGATTGGTCTATCTAGGAGACGTAATGACATTTACATCTGGTTGGTTCTGGTTGCATGTTGAATCCACTTTCATGCCAATCCCAACCTAATTTCTAATCTTCTATTCGTTGTTCTCAAGTTTGAAGTAGTTAAGATTAGGATTCTGATGCATGGTCAAAATAGGTGCCATTGCTTGATTTTGTCCTCAAGGATTCCGAT